ATGATAAGGATTTTTGAACCTACTCTCAACAACACTCTAGTACACATTGATGATATCTTTCTATTCTTCCTAGATGAAAAATCTCACATAGATTTACTCACAAAGTTCCATTTCATAGTCAAGGAGCATGGAATCATGTTATCCGAAAAGAAAATGGAAATTGAAGTAAGTTTTATTGATTTTCTTGGTATGAAAATATATGATGGGAAGTACCAACCACAACCTCCCATAGCTCAAGACCTACACAAGTTTCTAGGAATACATATGTCATAAAAAGAAATTCAACAATTTCTTAGGTTAGTAAATTGTATGGCAGATTTTTTACTTAAATTATCGAGCCACATTTTGCACTTATTCCCTATGTTGAAGAAAAGTATACCCCATTGGAGTGAAGAACAGACATTAACTATAAAGAAGACAAAGAAACTAGCTGATGTGATGCCTCCTTTAAAGATTCTCACTGTTACTAACAAAAGAGTCCTCCAGATTGGCACAAGCGATGAGTACTGGGGGGCAGTCCTAAGAGTTCAAGACAAAATTGATGTTATAACATTTTGTGGATACAAAAGCGACACGTTCAAAGATTCAGAACAACACTACCACTCTACCTACAAGGAAATCTTAGCGGTCAAGAGGGGAATAGAGAGATTCCAATCCCATCTAATCTATCACGACTTCAAGATTGAGATGGATATGTCTTCTTTCCCATGCATGCTCTGTTTTAAAGGAAAAATACTCGTGGAAGCCAACTTTTGAGGTGTGCAAATTGATTCTCCTAATGGAAATTCACCGTGGAACACATCAAATGGTCGGACAATATTATAGCACATTTTTTGTCCAAGCCAAAGGACTATAAATATGATGTCCCTAAAGATATCCAAATAGTTCACGAAGCCAAGGTCCTGGTGTTTCCCGTTGAGAGAGTAAGTTCTTCCAGTTCATTTACTCTAAACGCTTCTCGGCTCCATCACAAATCAATCTAATGAAGATGTCGTAACTCCAACACAAGTTCTACCGGATGACGTAATATAGATGATTTTCGACCTTACCTTAAGAGAAAGGTCTCATCTGAATTACAATACCTTCTTCACTATCACGATCAAAAAGCATGACATGTTCATGAGGAACTTTCAGTTTCACCCTGACTACCCTTTCCTTAATGTCTTCCATATCCTTGACTTACATAGGTTCCCAAGAGAAATACTTTGTTTTTTTTTTGTATTTATTCAAGTCTCACACCATTGCGATACCCTTCAACTCTGCCAAGCTACTCAGTTCCCTTTTCCAATGTCAGTTCGAGGATCCACCCCCAAGAGCACAGAATGTTTTTATCCTTCTCCAATGGTTCCTCCCAGCACATCAGTGAACGATTAGTTGTCTACTATAAAACTTACGTTGTAGTCATATTCAGGAGGCCCTACTCCTTCTTACCACATACGACTCTCCATCAGCAATAGTCATTGGTCTATCACTCTTCATCTTGGTATTCGGATGTGGTTGTTGGAGTTATAACACAACATTATCTCGTGTATAGATCCCAGATTCAAGTCATGAACATTTAAGATCAAGATTCAAAACATATAATAGATTCAAGTACGTCGGCATGTAAATTGATGTTCAAAAGGTTACAAAATGTTCTTGATGGTGTCTCTCACAATGATCTCACATATACAAAATGATAGATTGTTAACTACCATAACCAACAACCACCCTATTTATACCTAGAGATTACAAGGGAACAAGACTTATCTATAAAGCATGTAAACTTATATTATAAAGCATATTAAAACAGTTTAAAGCACAAGGACTTGAATACAACATTTTTTGTTTCAACAATTGGGACTGGTTGGGGGGAGGGGGTTAAGAGAAGGTAAAGTATGGTCGGGCTTGAGGGTCGGAGGTGAGTCTCCGTACAGGACATAATAGTCAAACTTGCTTGATGGTTCGCCTAGGAGTCCGACAGCAGGATCTCTTGATTCATATCTTTTCTTTAGCTTCTTTTTGAGATCCATCGTGATCAACTTTGTATGTTTCGTCTAAGCAATATAGACAGTTGCATACATCATACCAGTAATGTTGGTCTTGTATGATTGTATCAATATCGGTGACTCTACTAATTGGATTATACCAGTTTAGGGTTAAAATGTTAAAATTTGTTCTCATCTAGATTGTCCATTCAGAACAGTTACCAAACAACCATATTTCATTCAGTACTACATCATACAGAGCCTTTTAATCCTTCTGCATCGAACCATTCAACAACTGCCAAACAACTCATAAAATTGTTAGTAATTCGAGAACCACCCACAACGCTACATGTGACATATTTATGAGAAATATGTACATATTATTCATCATCAATATGTGATTCATGATGAATAACATGTTTATATTCATCATGAAGATGTGATTAATGATGAGTAGCACTTCCATATTTACCATAAACGTGTTATTCATAATGAATATTCATCCTGAATAGAGACACGTGGCATGCTGTGGGTAGTTCTCGGGTTCCTGATCAAATTTTGGGTTCCTAAAGGAACTTCCTTCTCTCTCTACATATATATATATATATATATATATGTCTGTGTGTGTGGGGGGGGGGGGGCTAATCAAATGAAAACTAATTCATTTATGGCAACCGCAAGATCCAATATGATCCAATCAGTTTATGATATTAATTTTATTACCTTAATCAATAGGTAAAGGGCATTTTAGTAAAATGATTAATTATAATTTAAATATTTTTCTTATTTAATAGTTATCAAATTCGGTTTCCTTAATTATCTCAACAAAATTGTATCACAATCGTGTATCACATTGTGGTTGTGTGTGGCCTAAAACTCAGATCACATCTATTATCAACCCAAGTTCAAAACGTTATCACAGTTGTATCACATTGTGTAACACAATTGGTTTTGTATCTTACTATTATATATTCTTGGGTATCACAGCGTGTATTATATTTGTTGTGTTTTACTGTTTGAAATTCTTGATGAGAGAGGGGGGGAGGAGAGAGCAGAGAGATTTTAAAAAGACTAATTTACCCCTATAAATTATCAATAAATTTAAATTATTTGAAAATTAATGAATAATTACCAAAAATATTACCAAAATTAATATGTTTAATAATAACCATTGATTATTAATAATGTGTGTTTGAGGTTGGATCTCACAGTTATCATAAACAATTGAGTTCTTCATTGATTAGACTCCTATAATATATATATATATATATATATATATATATGAGATTTACTTTGCAAATCACATTATTTATACAAACCGTACAAACCTCATTCAACCAATCATAATTTTTCATTTTGTTCATTTTTTTGTAATTATGAGAGGTTGATTAATCATTTTTATTGTGAATGGTATTAAACATGGATATTATTATCTTCATCATTTTAATTTTAGAGAAATACATGAAATAGTTTCATTAAAATTTCATTAAGTATTATATAAAACAATTTCATAACCATATATGAAACAACTTCATCAAATAAAGTATTATATTAAACAATTTTATGAAATTTTTACATAAGATTAAACAATAAAATCGACAGATGGAGGTGTTTTGCACGATTTGTACAAATTGGATGCTTTGCATTTGATCGCTTATATATATATATATATATGTATGTATATGTATGTATATAT